CAGGGTCCCGTCCGATTGCTCCCGTGAGTTCCGATATGTACGGGAAATTGTACAATTTGTTACGTATATCTGAATTTTACTTGGCCTACAATATGTTTAAAAAATGTAGAATAAAAAAAACGAATACGTATGCATTTTTTTAAATCATACTAAAATCCTATACTTTATTTTAGGAAAACTATTATTCATACAATTTATAAATCGATGGAAATTAAAATATGATACTATTAAAGCATATTTTATCATTTATTTAACAAATAAAGCTAAATAAGATTTCTACTTATTATTTTATAATTTCTTGCATAGTACGGATAGTTTCAAATGATTTATATATTCACAAAGGGGGCGTCGGTGGCTCAGGGGTCAAGCACTTGACTTGCAATCTGCAGGTCCGGGGTTCCCGCCTTGTGCAAATGTGTTTTTCGATTTCCGATTTACATATGTACATTTATCCAACGTTCTTACGGTGAAGGAAAACATCGTGATGCAACCTGCACATATCTGAGAAGATACTCAAAGATATGTGTGGAGTCAACCAACCCACACTTGGCCAGCGTGGTTGACTACGGCCTAATCACCCTTAACTGAGGATAGGCTCCGAGGCCCTCGGTGGGGACGTATAGTGAGCTGATGATGATTCACAAAGTCAAAAAATCTAACAACAAGAAGGTATGTTTAAAAAATGTGAATAAACTGAAGGAAAATTGGAAATTTCGTCCACAATATCGACAACAAACAACTCTATTATTAATAATAGCTCTACGAAAACGCTCACAAAGACCTCATAACTTTTACACTAAATTTGAATCGAATAGCCTTTGAGTGTTAAATGACAAGACTTTTCAAAGAGACTCTCTTACTTGTGTGCTCATTTTGTGTATGTAAATTTTCCTTTATAAAGACGTTAGTATTATATTCATGTACATACTAACTGTCTGCGCGGAATAAAAAAAAACTCAGTAAGAAGCCTATGTCTTCTTCCAGACTATAAACATGTCTGCCAATATCAACAAGTTGCGTTCAGCTGTTCCGGAGATACCTTTAAACAAACATCCATCGATCCTTCTAAACATTCGTATTTATAATATAAGTAAGATCCTTCTTTACCCTATACGCAAAAAGTGGTAGGATTTATTTAATATAAAGTCGGCTCTTTGCTTAGTCCATTTCTATATGATCAAAGGTACCAGTGGTCGGTTTATTTGAAGCGGCATATTCAAATCGACTTCTAATAATAGTGCACTCTACATTCAATTGGAAAGGTTTCATAATTGTAGATACAAAATATTGATTTATGAATTCAAAATATGTCTTAAAATAGAAACATATACGATCTCAAAGTATAATCAATTTTGAAATAAATATAATAATTGATTCAACAGAGAAAATTAGACGTATAAATTTAATTATCTAAAAATTTTGTTATAGTGAGCTGATAATGATGGTTTTCATCTTTTGAAGTCATATAATGTTTGAATAGTGTTGGAAATATTTATCATTGGTTTCTAAGAACACAATCCCAGCTAATGAAACTATGACGATATTAACAATAGTAGAGCCCGCTTTAACATCTTCGCACGAATTAGCCCGGCTCGCCCGGTGAAATACCACGACCACCCAGAAGACAGGCGAGAAGTGGAAGCAATTCCGTGTTTCATCTGATGAGTGTGCGCCCCGGAGGCCTAATTTTTCTTATAAGGAAAGGATGGGAAGTGGAAGCGGACTTTCCGGATGAGAGGATGCATGGGAAGGGAAGATCTTTTCTTTCTGTGCATCCTCTCCTCCGTCGAATAAAGGTGGGCAAAGCGTATGCAATTGCGTATGTCTATGGGCAACGGTCACTTCACTATTTTAGCGAATTTAGGTGGCCGCTCGCTCGTTTATGATAAAAAAAAATTATACAAGGATTAAGGTTTTCGAAACCAATAATTAATCTAATAGGAATTGTAGCATTCGTTGTGCTATATTTGGCTCGTTCACGTACCGACACGTGTTGCCGGCTCAAAGGTCTGACATCGACTGACGTCCCCTCTCTCCGGCATGTACTTATGGCGTGTACGCTCGAGACAAACAACACTACGTTTATACATACACTACAGGAATAATCCTTATTAATATTATAAATGCGAAAGTAACTCTGTCTGTTTGTCCTTCTTTCACGCAAAAACTACTGAACCGATTTTAATGAAATTTGGCATACAGATAGTTTAGAACCTGAGAAAGGACATAGGCTACTTTTTAATGGGAAAAAGGGGTTGTAAGGCGTTGAAAAGGGTGTTGGAAATTTGTATGAAATAGACATTTATACAGATAGAAGCTTTTATTAATATAATAATATAACTTGTTCGTATTTCAGGTCGTTCCATCTTCCTCATACGAGTGAGAACTTAGCGTCAAGTTGACAAATATCCGATGCGGGTGTAACGAGAAAAGTTTTTTGATCATTCCTCCCCACCTTAATGTCTTATGACAACTTTCCTCAGACGTCGAACATATCGCAAGTTCGACTGCAAGCTTGGGTACTTTATATATTATAATACCTTATTAAAAAAAACATAATAGTTACTTACAAATGCGAATGTTTAGATGGATGAATAGATGTATGGATAAATTGATATTTGTTTGAAGGTATCTCCAGGACGGCTGATTCCGATGAAATTTGGCATACTTCTAGAAAATTAGTATGCAATCTGCAGATTGCAAGAGCATATAGGATACTAATTATGTTTCTTTTCCGCGCGGATGGAGTCGCCAGCGACAGCTAGTATTTATTATAAATGCGAATGTTTGGATAGATGGATGTTTGTTAAAATGTATCTCCAGAACGGCTAATGGAATCTCGATGAATTTGGCATGGATGTAAAACATAGTCTGGAAGAACACATAGGCTAATTATTAAGTTTTTTTTTAATTTCGTATGTACGAAATCGCGAGTGACTGCTAATATTTAATAAAATTGGAGTGTATGTATGTATATTATTCAAAGTAAAAAAAAAACAAATCAATTTTTAAATTTGCCTGTCTCTCCGGAAAACCTAGCTTCTCTGTTCTAGCTAATCTCCGAAATGGCTGAACAGATTTTAACGGGACTTTTACTGGAAGGTATGCATGTGTGTGATGCATGCTTGAATACATTTTTTTAAATTACACTTTGACCTAGTCACCAGCAACAGTTAATATATAATAGAATTAATACTCTATATGCCCATGACTTGTTCAAAGCGTATATCTATATCAATAGCTAGCTGTTCCCACGGGAATTAATATTGCATCAAATTGCATTAGTTCGTCTGTGAGCGTAGTTCCCTTTAATATAACTAGTTTGCTCTTGCGACCACTTTGGAGGAAGTAGCTACGTATATTACAAAATTTTTATTTACATTTCATATGAATTCTGAATTATAATAGAGTTATTTTATGCAAAGAACTTTTAACTTTTAGCGTCAATAGCTTAATGGTTAAGGGTACGGATTTCCGATCACGAGGTCGAGGGTTCGAATCCTGCCATTCGACTATTGTCGTAAACCAAATCCTAGCACAAGCCTAGAGCTTAGTTGGAATGGTAAAAGAAATATTAGTAAATATACAAAAAAGTCTGTTAATATTTTTCAAAAAAAAAAAACTACAAAATTGAACGTAGAACAAAAGTTATAATTAATCTTATTTCCTACTTTTTATCTTACGTCTTACTAATATTATTAATGCGAATGTTTGGATGGATGGATGTTTATTTGAACGTATCTCCAGAACGGCTGAACCAATCCCGTTGAAATATGACATAGATGTAGAACATAGTTAAGAACAAGAACACTATTTTTTTTTAGTTCCGCGCGGACGGAATCCTGTGCGACAGCTAGTATTCATATAATTAACAAAAAATATGACTTTTAAAAGACCAAAAGATGTGAATTCGTCCTTAGATGTTAGTTTATTAACGTTAGATGTTAAGGAGCTTTCACACTTGCGAGTTACTGAATGTAATAATTTGCCACTTAGGTATTAATAGCTATCAATCATTTGTTGGTACAGTCAAGAACCTTTATTTATTACCCATTTGAGTGAAATGTAACTTGACGCTCATAATGACATCAGGTAAAAATTAGGCATACAAACAACAAGTGCTAAATTATAGACTCGTATGGTGACAGTTTGTTGTACTGTCGATTCTAAGTCGGATACGTATGTAGTTCTTTGATTGTACAGTCATCTTCATAAATGTGTACACAATAACAAAACATTAAAAACATGTAATCTTAGTCGGAACCAAAAGCGTATACTAGTTTTTGTACCTTTGTTAATGTATACACATTTATGCAGCTGACTGTACATATATGACTATAGTGAATCTGGGTTACCAAACTATTGTGTCATGAGTTCTTGGCTTTATAGTCACAAAGGAGCCGTCGTTCCGTCGTTCCGGAGGATCGATCATTGTGAGCCTGCATTCAATTACGCGATCTCATTCCGAAGTCAACCGCACAATGAATCGAGAGTTTTATTCAAGGGCAATGTAAGAGCGCTAAAATGACGCATCAATTTATTTCAATATTAAATTTAATATAGTAATTATTATATATTATTAATTGGGAAATTACTCGTAATTGCAATGTAAGTGGTTTAGATAAAGACAAAAATTAAATGGTTTATGAATATTCAAAAAAAGACATGATTGCTTGTATGTACTACTGAAACTTCAAGTAAATTATGTACTTAATAATCTAATTAGTTCATTTTTATCAAAGTACAGATGAATATGGAATTATACATACCTTATAAATATTTAAATATAAACAATCAGCGAAACACATTACCCTAATTCTGGAGTACGTACGAAAAAAAACAAATCGATATGTTGCAACTTTATAATAATGAAAAAAGAAATTGCCCAATAAAGGTAGTGAAACTACAATAATTCGCATAGAGCTGAAAATTGGTAAGACTATCTTGTGAATCCTGAAAAGTCTCCATCGATCTCCCTCCCTACCACTTCTCAGTTCTATGTGAATTGTTATATCCTTAAATGCTTAATTTGATCGACCTAAAAGAATATACACAAAATCATCAGTTACAAAAACGAGGGCAATGATTATTTAGATTTAGTACAATCTTCAAGCTTGACACATTTCTTTGTGATCGGATCTCTCACAGTTGGTTCTTCGCAATAACATTGAGAGTAGTCGCAAATTTTTCCTCTGAGGTCGACCTCGGGGTTGGGTACATCACACGTGGCCTCCGGTTTTGCGTAGTCACAATCACGAACGTAAGCCCTTGTTCCCTCTTCACACTCTCTGACACCTGGAAACACACAGATTAACTTAGTAGTACAGACTTGGACAGAAAATAATAATCAAGAAAATTCATGATGCGACAGGTACAGTCCAACAAGGAACTTTTGGTACATTTAGATGGAGACGCCAATGTGCTATAAAGTGTACACAACCACTAAGTAAGACTAGTTTGTCGGTCTATAAATTGTTTTTTTGGTACAATGAACATATGATGTGTTTGCATCAAGAATTGCATTCATTTACTCTATGTAATTTTGTCTTTGGCTTGTTTTAGGACAATTGGTTCTGATACAAGATATAAGTAAGAATCGAAATATTGATTGCGTGAAACATTATTTTAATACCGAGATTACAACTAATATGATTGATGATAGAATATAATATAAGAAGTTAAAAACCTGAATGAATGTTATACTTACATATTCCGTGAATGTATTGACATCCTCGGTAGTCTCTTAAAGGTTCTGAATATACCATGTTAATGGCCGCAAGTAAAACCAAAAAAGCAACAGTCTTCATCTTTTTATATTAGTTTATTACTGAGTCAAGATGAGTAACGAAGTGTGTAAAATATGACTGAATGCACAGCTTTAAATAGGTTAGATGAGTTAGTTTAATTAAGAAACATAAGCACATTTTAATGGATCAAATAATTATGAATCCATCTAACAGATATCGTTGTATCAAATTAATTTATTATAGTTTCTATCACATTGTCTTTCGAGGAAACTAAATTTTAACACCTTTTAGTGTAACACTTAAAATAAATCTTTTTTTTTAATTTTTATTTTGCATCGTTTTAGCGCTCATAATCAAAAGGATGAAGACGTCGGTCATTTGCAGTATTCGCTGCAAGAATTGTAAAGAGACTTGGAAATTTAAATGAACTTCAATGGAAATCGAATAGACAATGTCTAAGAGGTTTTCAAATGATTCGGAAAAATGTAAATATCGATTTCATATTATGACATTTAGGGCCTTTTTTTTTATAGTCAGGAAATGCATTTACGCACGCCTACGCCAGGCGGTGCAATGGCGTAGGGAGTGTGGGACTCGCCGGCCACAGAAGGTGACAAGACATTTAGGGCCTATTTCAACGTCCAAGTAAGTCTTGAATCAGCTATATTAAACATATCTTAATGAATCTGAGAAAAGGATGGAAAGTTGAAGTGGACTTTCCGGATGAGAGGATGCATGGTAAGGAAAAATATTTTCTTTTTGTGCATCCTCTCCTCCGTCGATAAAAGGTAGGCAACGCATATGCAACTGCGTATGTCTATTGGCAACGGTCACTCCGCTTTTTCAGAGATTTCAGATAGCCGCTCGCTTGTTTGCTATCTTATGATATAAAAAAAATGCAAACTATTTTAACACGATGTCTTGTGATTCAGTTAATTTAATTGTTAGTTATCCAGCACTTAACTTGGAAATTGTGGATCAGGCTCTTATAATTAAAAATTATATAAAAAAACGAACTCCATTATACAGTTAATTCACGTTATAATTTACTTACTGTTTTATGGATGCGAAAAAAGAAATAAAAGTGACCTACTAAAGGAATGTAAAAATACTACAGGAAGTACTAATCAATTTGATCAAAAATAACATTTACTTTCTAAAAATAAAATGCCAGATAAGTAATATTGTTATTTCTCATTGAATAACAAGAATCACATTATGTTTTTACATTTGTTTTAACAATGAAAACTCACACTAAAAGTGTATACGTTCATCATAAATAATTACTGTTACGGAAAATTTTCCTTCCGTGTCTAAAGTCAGCTACACACCTTTAATTTAAACTGTACAATTTAAGTTACGATTTAGGATTTCTTAGCGATATCTTCTTTTCAAAGTTTGATAACGCATCTACATTAATATACTGCAGATTTCCATAGGTCACGACAGTGGACCAGTAGATCATGCCAGTGTTCCCGCCACTCGTTTGCACCTTTCTGTTATAAAACAGTCGTACTGTACAGTAAGCTGCATAAATATGTATACATTCACAACATTTTATAAAATTGTATAGGCCGTTGGTCTTGAAAATACTTTTTCAGGTATTTATTAAGAGCATGTATTTATATTTGGAAGCATACGGTCCGATACTTGCATACATATTTTTAAAACTGAAAGCAAATAAAATTGTCTGAATCTTTATAGATGTATACATATTTGTGCAGCTGACTGTACAATTAAAAATTTTGTAGGTAAAATTTTAATGTCAGTAAACCTGTACAGTTCTGTACAGACTGTTCAGTTAAAATTGTACAGTTTAAACTGAACGTGTGTAGCAGGCTTAATGTTACATTGTTTTGTCTATTTGGTGCGTAAACTGAAATCTAACGTGTTGTTATTATTATCTTAATCTAATAAGGAAAATGTAAAGAATGAAAAATCTTTTCCGGGTGTATTAAAGTTTGGATTTTATCAAACAATGTTGTATACAGTGGGTTATTACGTAACAGTTGTTATTAAACGTAATTAAGTCTATTACCGTTGGTTTCTGAGACCAAAATGTTTATATAAAACATATCGTCATCCCTGTCACTATCTTGGACAACAAAGAGATGTTTTAAACGGAGATTATGGTATAAGAAACCCACGGTTAGTGATTGGAATTGTTGAAAAGTCATAATCAAAGATTTTTTTATAATTTGATTTAAAAAAACTTTATGGACATCACTACTTCTACTTTAAATGTGATAAACACGTTCATTCATTCGCGCAATTATCTTATAAAGAGGCATATAATTTGCGCTTCACGTATTAATATTATATAATATTGACTTTAAAGTGATTTTAATGTTTTCTGTGTGCAGCGCCTCTATCGGGCATAAAAGTAACTAAGATTCTCAGAGATCAATTTTTTTCGGTGAGAAAGGTTTTGAAACTTACAAAACAATTAAATGTCTTATTGGTAGTCAAAATTCAACCTACGTCAATTAATATTTAGTTACTTTTACGCCCGATAGAGGCGCTGCATCGCATAGTTACCGATAGAATGATACGAAATTCGACAAAACTCCCGTCAAATTGTTTCCAGCTAAAGCTGTATTAATCAAATACATTCTTTTTCTATATTTCGGTACGCTACAATAACGCTACGTATTACGAGCTTTAAGCTCATAAGCTTATTTAACGTAGAAACTAGTGTGCTTTATTGTTACAGGAATATTTAAGCTAAGTACGCTTTTACCAAATTCACTAAAAAGCTATTCGAAAATAAACACACGTATACAAATGAATTCAAGATCCATGTTAACAGCGTAATAAAAACACAGCTTTATTTTAATATGTATTAAGATTTAGGCGTATTTGTAATAAATTAGTATGGAAAGATAATCCTTCGCCTTCGTTAATTCTATTACGTGTGGTTTGTATTTCTATTATAACTCGACCACTCAAGTTTGTGTACGCCGACTACATAAAATGTGAATAGATTTTTATCAAATATATTACTTTGATATAAACAAATTATGAGTCTTGTCTTAAACGAACCATCATCCCTATCTATTGCCACAATGTACTTATTTCGTATAAAGTGTGAATATAATATAATATAATATAAATAGCTAGATTACGGAATGAGAAAAAATCAATAAAGATCTGTGGATTCACACATTGCTAAAAAAATAAATGTGTCATCATCAGCTCACTATACGTCCCCACTAAGAAGTTCGGAGCCTACCCTAAGTTTGGGATGACTAGGACATAGTCAACCACGCTGGCCCAGTGCGAGTTGATTGACTTCACACATATCTTTGAATATCTTCTCAGGTAATTGCAGCTTGAATCACTATGTTTTCCTTCACTGTAAGAACTTTGGATTAATGTACAGATTTAAATCGATAATCGTAAAACACATTGATACATGGATGCGAACCCAAGACCTGCGGATTACAACTCATGTGCTTAACCCCTGAGCTACCGACGCTCATGATCATATGTGTCATGTTTTATGTAAAATATAATCAAGTGATAGTATCTTTCGTTGTATTTGTTAACGGTAGTTGGCGTAACTCGTATAATGTTACTCATAACATGACTAAGTTTGAGGAAAAAAAAATCACTTACAATTTTTAACATTTTCAATTGCGGTGAGTGACGAATTTTTTGTAGCCGACTTATAACACTGTGGAAGGTGGAATTAGTGATACCATAAATTATGTAGATATATACTCGAAGATGGGGGCAAAGTGTTTTATTTACTTTGTTACTTTTCTCATTGGGGTTTTTATTGGGAGAGCTCATTTCATTGGGGCCGGTAAATTAATTATTGTTAACGTTTTTATGGAGAGGTTTATTGGATGCTGGGAAATAAATTTATGACAAAAGTATTTTTCTTTGGATCAATAAGAACTGATACTTGTTAATTCGGATATTTATTTAACAATTATGTCAAAATTAGTATAAGATTTTTGGTGCACTTTACGTCCGATAGGGGGCGCTGCACCAATTATAATACAAATTTTGTCGAAGACGACACGTTGGCCATTGTCACAAATATAAATACTAGGCCTATTGTTTAATGGTGCAAGTACTAAGATTAACTTAACCTGTGGGATTTACTGTGGGTTTCTGATACCAAAATCTTTCCATAAAACATATCATTTTCCCTGTCATTTTTGACAGTGATAATTTCTTTTAAATGTGGATTTTCGTCTTAGAAACCCACGGGAGAAGTTGTACTCACATACTAAAAGTCGCGTATTATTCATTAAATCATTATTATAAACTAATATATAAAAACGGCTAAGCACTCACGTATATTCGTCCGGTGGCGGCACCGACTAGTTTCGAGCCCATCCACCAGTACACCAGTACCAGTCCCACTCACCCTGATGAACCCGATGGGCACGAATCTAGTCGTTGCCGCCACCGAACGAATATACGTGAATGTTTAGCCGTTTTTATATAACTTTATTACAATGGTTCTCGAAAGTTTAAATAATTTAAGTCATCATTTCAAAAGATTGTTGAGGAAAGTGTGTTGTAATACTCAGAATACTTTTAATCAGCTTTTCTCCGGCACATTGTGATTTTGTTTTCATAGTTTCCTACAAGTTGCCAATTCTTACGTAAACTTGACGTTGTTTCTATGAAACGTTACAAACGTAACAAAATTGTCGTAATCTTGGAACTTTGGGTAAGTACGTAAAATATTGTAATTACATTTGAAAGTAGTATTTCTCAATTCTTTTATTGAAATTTTCGAAACTTTTTATTTTAGAAAGTTAAATACCTTGTATATTTAAATTGCTAAACGATTGTTTTAAATTTTTTTTTTAAAGTTGAAACACGAACTATCCAGACTCTCAGAGTGAAACGCATCGAATAATAACTAATTCATCAAAGTTCACTTGTTTAGAATATGAGAAATCACAATGGTATTGGAACAAGTACGAAAATTGACAAAAGAGAAAAATTGGGATACAATAATTTACAACAAAGTCATGTTGATTTAATATATAACTAAATAATCTTTCTAACTAAAAAATCTAAAATACTATACTATATTAAATGCGAATGTTTAGATGGATGGATGTTTGTTTGAAGGTACCTCCAGAACTT